CTGCTTCCAGGTCGTCCAGCAGTCCGCGAGCCGCGGCGACCTGCTGCAGCGGAGCGCGAGGTACACGATGCACGAATTGGTGCGGATGATCTTCGCCAAGCTGCAGGACATCGAGGTGAGCCCCGACCAGGAGTCGGAGACGGACATCGACGACGCCGATTTCGACGGGAACTTGGACTCCGGGTATGGGATCCGGTGCGCCGTGGATATCTTCCATTTCCTCTGCTCGTTGCTCAATGTCGTGGAAGTTGTGGAGAGCGAAGGGAATCTGTACAGGACCTCGGATGAGGATGTTCAGCTTTTCGCCCTGGTTCTGATCAATTCGGCGATCGAGCTGAGTGGAGACGCCATTGGCGATCATCCCAAGCTCCTGAGGATGATCCAGGACGATCTGTTCCATCATTTGGTTCATTATGGAACTTCTTCCAGCCCGCTCGTTTTGTCCATGATCTGCAGCACTGTGCTGAACATTTACCATTTCCTTCGCAGGTCAGAAACACTGAACTCTGGCTTTCTCTAAATGAACAATTGAGTCACTAGCCAAACTATCTATTACGATTACATTTTCTCGTCCGAAACCAAATTAGTAATGCGAAAAATCGGGTACATCCTATGGTTCGATCATTCTAGTAATCAATTTCGTGTGGATTGTAACATAAGGTGAAATGAGATTCTTCATTTCTTCTTGTCGATTCATTCAGGTGCATGAGTACATACGATAATATGAAGGTTTTATGATCATTGATCTATGTGTAGACGCCTAATTGTATGACGAAAAATCGATAACTATTTGACTAGTGGGAGTTGTTCCTCTCTTGGTGGAAATTGCAGGTTTGTTCGTCTGCAGTTGGAAGCCTTCTTCAAGTTCGTGCTACTACGAGTGGCATCAGCTGGAATCTCAACTCAGCTTCAGGAAGTGGCGATCGAAGGAATCATCGACTTCTGCAGGCAGCCGACCTTCATCATCGAAGCATACGTGAACTACGACTGCGACCCACTCTGCATCAACGTGTTCGAGGAAACCGCGAAGCTGCTCTGCAAGCTCTCGTTCCCGGGGGCCAGCCCGTCCCCATCACTGCAAGCTCAAGCCTTCGAAGGTCTCGTCGGAATCATCCACAACATCGCGGAGAACATCAACCGAGAAGGCGATTCGACCCCTTCGGGTCCCTACCCGGTTCACCTGACGGAGTACAGCAAGTTCTGGATGGACAAGCCGCTCGACGGCAGCGAAGCTTCCATATCGTACCTCCGAACGAGGAAAGCTCAGAAGCGGAAACTCCTGATCGCCGGAAACCATTACACTCGAGACGACAAGAAAGGTCTGGAGTATCTCCGGTTAAGCCTGATGTTCCCCGACCCACCGGACCCGAGAGATTACGCCTTCTTCTTCCGGTTCACCCCCGGGTTGGACAAGACCATGATCGGAGATTACCTCGGCGATCCTGATGAATTCCACATTCAGGTCCTGAAGGAGTTCACCTGTACATTTGAATTCTCCGGGATGATCCTCGACACGGCGTTACGTACCTATCTCGCCACGTTCCGGCTCCCCGGAGAGTCGCAAAAGATCCAGAGGATCCTCGAGGCCTTCTCCGAGCAATTCTACGAGCAGCAGCCTTCCGACATCTTCGCCGGAAAAGATGCGGTCTTTGTCCTCTGTTACTCCCTGATCATGCTCAACACCGACCAGCACAACCATCAGGTGAAGAAGAAGATGACGGAGGAAGAGTTCATTCGGAACAACAGAGCAATCAACGCCGGCCAGGATCTGCCGAGGGAGTACTTATCGGAGCTTTTTCAGTCAATCGCCAGCAAGGCGATCTCGCTGTTCGGTCAGACCGGTCAGCCGGAGATGAACCCGGGGTTATGGGTCGAGCTGATGGGCGCTTCTAAGTTGCTTCAACCTTTCCATCTCTGTGATTTCGACCGCCGGCTGGGGCGGGACATGTTCTCTTCCGTCGCCGGCCCGGCGGTGGCGGCTCTCACGGCTTTCTTCGAACAGTCCGACGAGGATGAGATGTTCCACGAGTGCGTCGAGACGCTGATCTCCGTCGCCAGAATCGCTCAGTACGGGCTGGAAGACACTCTCGACGAGATGATCGCCTCGCTCTGCAAATGCTCGACTCTGCTGAACCCTTACGCCTCGTCGGAAGAGACTCTGTTCGCGTTCAGCCACGACCTGAAACCCAGAATGGCCGTGCTCGCAGTTTTCAGCATCGCGAACAATTTCGGCAGCGCTATTCACGGAGCGTGGAGGCCGATTTTGGACTGCCTGTTGAAGCTGAAGAAGCTCAAGCTTCTTCCACCATCGGTGATCGAGCTCGACAGCTCGTTCTCCGATTCGGAACAATCTCGAAACGACGGAAGCGGTGGCAGTGGCGGAGGAGTAATTTTCCCTTCTTCTTCCTCTCAAGATCAGAGATCACGGCAGCAGAGCTCCACCTCCATGATCAGCAAATTCACGCACTTTCTCTCCCTAGACAGCATGGAGGAATCGTTACAACTCGGGCTTAATGAATTCGAGCAGAACCAGAAGGTAATCAAGCAATGCCAAATCGGGAGCATTTTCACCAACAGCTGGAACTTGTCCGACGAGACTCTGCTCTACCTCGGCCGCTCTCTAATCTTCGCCTCCGCCGGGAAAGGTCAGAAATTCGCTACTCCGGTCGAGGAAGAAGAAACCATCGAGTTCTGCTGGGATCTAATCGCTGCCCTCTCCTTCGCCAACATCAACAGATTGCAAAACTTCTGGCCAGCATACCACGAAAATCTGCTCGAAGTAATCCACTTCCCTCTGTTTTCACCAATCCCATTTGCAGAGAAGGTGATCATCGCCCTCTTCAGAATCTGCCTGAAGCTCTTGTCCTCGGCGAGAATCGACAAGCTCCCAGAAGAGCTCATCTTCAAGTCCATCAACCTGATGTGGACTATCGACAAGCAGATTCTCGACACGTGTTGCGAATCGATCACCAAGTCAGTCAGCAAGATTCTGTTCGAGTACCCAGCCAACTTACAGAGCTTTCTGGGCTGGAAGTCGGTGCTGCATTTGTTATCGATCTCTGGTCGCCATCTCGAGACGTACGATCAGGGGGTCGAGACGTTGATCATGTTGATCTCCGACCAAACCCATGTGTCCAGGACGAATTATGCATTCTGCATCGACTGTGCATTTGGATTCGTCGCCCTGAAGAACAGCCCCCTGGAGAAAAACGTGAAGATTCTCGACCTGTTAGCCGAATCAGTCACATTGCTAATCGACTGGTACAAGAACTACTCCGACCCGGGGAGTAGCGCCAATTTCAGCACAGCAAGCACGGGGAGCAACCCCGATATCAGCCCGTCCACGTTCTCGATCAACCTGTTCATAAAGCTGGGAGAGGCGTTCAGGAAGACCAGCCTGGCGAGGCGGGAGGAGATAAGGAACCATGCCATCAAGTCTCTGCAGAAGAGCTTCGAGCTGGCCCAGGAGCTGGACTTTTCGCCTGCCAACTGCTTGAACTGTTTCAACCTCGTGGTGTTTGCGATGGTGGACGACTTGCACGAGAAGATGATCGAGTACTCGAGGCGAGAAGGGGCGGAGAGGGAAGTGAGGAGCATGGAAGGGACGTTGATGCTGGCGATGGAGCTATTGACCGATGTCTATCTGCAGTTCTTGAAGCAGATCGCGGCGAGCCCCGGGTTCAGGACCTTCTGGCTGGGTGTGTTGAGGAGGATGGATACTTGTATGAAGGCTGATCTTGGGGTGTATGGGGAAACCAAGCTGCAGGAGGTGATTCCAGGGTTCTTGAAGAAGATGATTACGAGGATGAAAGGAGATGAGGTTTTGGTTCAGAAGGAAGATGATGATCTGTTTGAGATTACCTATATTCAGATACAGTGGATTGCCCCTTCTCTCAAGGAGGAATTGTTTCCTGAGTTGGAGATTTAGAGGGCCAGTTTTTGTGTGGTTTTTAGGTAGGAAATTTTGGGCAATTCTTTTGTTCATCTGTGTAATTTATAGAGCAAAAATAGATATGAGTTGTGGTACACTGGTACTAGTTTGGCTAACTGGAATGAGCGTGTAATTGTTGTCAAATTCAAATGGATTTGTAACTAATTGAAAAGTGAAATGAATGTAATAAGATTGAATGAATTTTTGATCTGATTACAATCCTCCTATTTTTTATCTGAATTTTTGAATGAACTGTTGTCAGAATTCTTGTTCTTCTTCACACAAGGATGTCCAGAAGAAGAGGAACAAACCATATCCTCAACTCCTTCCATCACCTCAACACAACCCAAGTGTTGGAGGAATCCATTAGAGCATTGCTTCTGCATCCAACTCACTCCCACTCCATCTGTATCTTCCTCTTCACCCCTCTCTCAATCTCAATCTCAATCTCACTCTTCATTTCTCACTTCCTCAACCACCATTTCCACCACTTGACAGTTGACACCCTTTCACAGCCGGCTTCATTCGATCACCTGCTTCGAGCTATGGACCTCTTCCCCTGCTATTCGAGTTGCTCTTGAAGATTTCTCTTCGTGTCGTTATCTGCTTCCCTTCGCCCATCACCTTCTTGCTCCTGGGGAAATCAGCAACAATTCACGGCGTTTCCAACAGTTACTATGGAGCCAGTCGAGGCGGACATTCCCAAGAAGTAGAGTGGTTTGGATCAGGCCTCTCCGCACGAGTCTATGCGAATTCCTTACTGCTCTGTGTCTCTCTGGAGGTTTTGCAGTTTGCTTGGCAACAGTACCAATCGTTCTAGCTGCATGCGGTTAATGTCCACATATCTGGGATTTCAAATAGTTCTGGCACTGCCTGGGGCCCCATTTTGTCTAGGGTTTGCACATCTAATAGTTTTAGACGTTTTGGTAATCTGGCCAAGGTTGTGGCTGCCGTAGAACCAGATTGTAGTTGGTTTATGGAATTGGTTTCTCTGTATTGTTTCATGCTGGTTTTGGACACAGTGATGAATGTTATGTTCTACCTTGCATGCAAATTATAGGCATCTCAGTACGAAGATAATGAAGTCTGATTCTTTCACTGCAATTTGCAAGCAATTCTAGCTAGTTCTTTTTATGTTCCGAAAGCCTAGGACCACGAGTCCATGATTCCATGTGGGCTTTTAGACTGCAAATAATTAGTAATTCGATACATGCACAACAAATAACATTGAAACAGGGCTCGTGAGAAGTACAAAAAATGATACAAAGAGCAGCAGCAGAAGAGTCAAATTTAGCTATTTTTGGATGCTGGTCATTGCAGAACTTCCCATCAAATCAAGAGCGTGGAAAGCATGCAATCTCCATTCCTCTGATCGAATACATGGTACACCCTAGCTGTGTTTGCTTCCCTAGGATTGAGGTACTTGTTGGCTTTGCAGGGTAGAAGAGCATGTTTTTTTCTTCAAAAGACTGCCAGTTCAGGACTCCGCTGCATCTCTATCGAGCATCCAGAGTCGAAGGTGGAATACCCTTGGATTTCCCTGTATAGTAGCAAAATACATATGAGCCACAACGTTATTCAGAAAGTCGTTGAAAGAATATGATGGACCAAACAAACCACTCACAAGCTTGCAAGGTTGTAATCACTTCATTACACAAACTAATAGCACATTATATAACACCAGAATGTAGGTCCTAAAGCCTGGGTACTGGTTAAAGTGGTTTTATTATGAAGCTTGTAAAAGATCAAATCTCCACAGAAAACTGCAGTTGCTTACAATTACTAACGCACATATCAGGATCAAATCTTCAGAGCAAGAGAATGTAGGTATTTATGGATTAAATGCAAGACCCAGTCATTATCGAACAGCTGGGACACTGTTAGCACAACTTTAAAAAGTTATAAGGTAATAGGAAGTATTCAAACAATCAAGCTGGATTTTATGAATACAGTTGACACCAGTTTCATACTCGAGTATAGTTAACAACCGACAGTCCAACAAGCATTCAAGTCTCAACTGGATTTTTAATTTAAACAATCAAGCTCCATCATCTATGTTGATAAAAGCTTGCTGCTCAACCAATGTGTTTCATACCAGTTCTCGCGTTTTCTATGCTCCTTTCAGTTCCTAACTATGATCTTCACATCATATTGCACAGACTCATGTCAATTAACCACCTCCAGTGGCAAAATCAATATTCTTTCATTAATTTAAAATGAAAACGAATTTGATCACTGCATAAGAATATCACAAAAAACTGCAACGAGAAGCTCTTCCTCCAATACAGCATAAAAAGAAAAGCTAGGCTAAGAGCCACAAGCATCTCCAGATTTCTCGGTAACGAAGTCTAAAACTAGGTGCAATTATACAACATTCTCAACAGCCATAACCAGTAATATTACTCACATTATTCGCTGACATTCACACCCGAATCATTGCCGCCACTGTCAGTGTCCCCTTCCGTCTCCACCCCATCTTCATTGTCACCACCACCACCATCATCACCATCAGAACCCGTATCACTATCCTCCTCCTCATCATCTTCCTCCTCTTCCTCCCTTTCTCTGATTTTAGCAATCTCACTCTGTGCCCTCTCCAAGATTTGCTTCTTCTGCAACTCCAATTCCCTCTGGAAATCAACCCGCATTCTCTCCAATTCCAACATCTGTTCCCTCTTACTGCTCTCTATCTTCTCATATATCTCGCCGAACTTATGAACCGAATCCGCCAACACAGTCAGACCTTTGAACATATCACCACTAAGCTCCCCCGCATCCTCTTCTTCCTCATCATCTTCATCTTCCTCGTCGGATTCACACGGACTATCCCTCATCTCATCATTCATGTTGGCACGTTCCAAATACACTCCAGTATCGGTAAAAACATACTGCCCTGAATCCACACCACAAGACAAACTAAACCCACCAGTACTACTCCCTACATGTCCATTCTCTTGCCTCATCAGCATATCCATCTTCCTATAAAACGCCCATTTAGAATTCAACCCACCTTTGCCCTTCTCCTTTCTGTACCTCCTCTTCAGAGAATCCATCATCTGCCTGCACTGGGCTTCATTCCTCTGGATCTTCAGCGCCTCGGAAACCTTCGCGGCCACCTCGGTCCAGTCCGTGGACCTCAAGCTGTTCCTGCCCAACTGCAGAAACCTCTCCCCCCAAACCTCCAAAAGAACGAACTTTTCCTGCTCGCTCCACCCTTCCACCGCGAAATCGGCTTCCCCGCCGTGGTTGTGGTTGTGAATGCTCGCCGTCCTCGGGGCCCGCGCAACGAATTCGTAATTGGGGACCGACTTCTTGAGCTTCTGCCTCTTGGGGTACCTCCCGTACTCCTCGTTCTGCTCGAAATCGTTGGCGCCGGTGTCGTCGTCGTCTTCGTCGTCGGAGTACGCGACGCCGTTCTCGTCTTCGAAATCGTCGTCCTCCTCGTCCTCGACGTAATCGCGGCGGTTGTAGTAAGTGGCTGCCGGACGGTGGGAGTATAAAGGCGACTTCTTTGCTCGATTGTGGGGGTAAGCTTTTGGCGGATACCTAGCATCATCTTCGGTATCGTCCATGGCTTTTTAAAAAAAAAAATCAACTCAGCTGAATGAACCGATCACCAATTGAATTGGGAAGAGTAATTTTTCTAAGTGGGAATTTCGGTAGAGCTAAAGGAGAAGGAATCCCCAAAATTTCTAGGGTTTATCAGAAGCTGGAGAGAAAGAGAGAGTGGATTTTGATTGAGACTTGAGAGAGAGAGAGAGAGAGAGAGAGAACGAAGCTTGAGAGTGCGCCAGGTGCACACGCACTGGCGGATTCGTTTTTTTTTTTTTTTTTTTTTTATGATTCCCTTCCGTCGAAGTTAGCAAGATGGGCCAGTCCTTTTAAATTGGGCCTCGTTACTAAAGCCCAAAAAGATCCACGTGCAATAATAGCCCAACGCGGCCTCTCGTCCGCAGCCCAGTGTGCAAAGCGAAATCTTTGGGGAAAAAACAATTTGGCCCATACAGGTCTCGAACCTGTGACCTTCGCGTTATTAGCACGACGCTCTAACCAGCTGAGCTAATAGGCCAGTTGTTGTTGCTGTACGTGAATTTAATATTTTTATATTCTAACCTTTTGCTCACTGTTTTTGACTTTTCCCACATCACTGCACGAGGGGACATTGAATAAGACAGAGCGAAAGCTACTGAACGCTTTGAAGTTGATGGGAAATAAAAACAGCGGTGGCGGCGCGTGAATGCAATTACGATACATCTCTTTTTTCCCCCCCTCTACCTAGCTAGTGGTGCAAGTAGTATATACATGTCACGGAGAACGGGACGTGAATCGATCTGGATATCTGTCGTCGTTACTGCTTTTGCATGTGTTCCTTACTTACTGTCTACTCTGCATGCATGCATGCAACTTGCAGAAAAATAGCCCTTTCAGTTGAAACCGTTTTTGCGCTAAAAAGAACGTGATTGATTAATGAAGTGAGGCAAGCAGGTGCAGCTAGCTAGCTGCAAAAGCCAGCCAAGTTGCACGCCATTAGTAGTGCTACAGCTAGGTAGATATAGCTACTATATATATATATATATATATATATATATATATATATATATATAGGTGCATGGGTTTGAATTGAGAAAATGTGTGCAGCTAGCGATCGATCGAGAGAATAATAATCATAATAAGAATGGTGATGGCGGGGAGTGGTGTAGTGAGGTTGAGTTGGGGACTGAGCTGGCTGTTGGTGGCTTTGCTGGGGAGTTGCGGTGGTGGTGGTGGTGTGGTTGAGGGCAGGAAGTTGTTGATGGTGAAAGGAGAGGATGGTTATAATTATAAGGAGCCTGATTGTGTTGGCAAAGGTGGTGGTGAAGGACACCACCTGAAAAAGAAGAAGAAGAAGGAGCATCCTATTTTTAAGGGCCATCACGGTGGTGGCGGCCATGGGTTTGGCGGTGGTGGAGGGATTGGCAAGGGAGGAGGAGGAGTTGGTGGAGGCATAGGCGGCGGCGGTGGCGCTGGTGGAGGGATAGGCGGAGGCGGCGGTGCTGGCGGAGGGATAGGCGGTGGCGGTGGAGCTGGTGGTGGTGTAGGTGGTGGAGCCGGCGGAGGGATAGGAGGCGGAGGTGGTGGTGGGGGCATAGGCGGTGGCGGTGGTGCTGGTGGAGGGATAGGCGGAGGCGGGGGTGCCGGCGGAGGGATAGGCGGTGGCGGTGGAGCTGGTGGTGGAGCCGGCGGAGGGATAGGAGGCGGTGGTGGTGTAGGTGGAGGAGCCGGCGGAGGGGTAGGAGGCGGTGGTGGTGGAGGCTTGGGTGGCGGTGGTGGGGGAGGGATTGGCGGTGGCGGCGGGGCTGGTGGAGGGTTTGGGGGAGGAGTTGGTGGCGGAGCTGGCGGGGGATTCGGCGGTGGTGGTGGGATAGGGGGCGGTGGAGGAGCCGGAGGTGGTGGTTTTGGAGGCGGGTTTGGTGGCGGAGCTGGGGGAGGATTCGGCGGCGGAGGCGGCGGAGGGGAGGTACCAATTGGGGGATAATCTCAACACAAATGTACTCAAGTGTTCGAATTGTCATTTGCTTTCCAATTTCTTTAATTACGCTTGTAATTCCTATTGTATTCGTGATTTTATTACCGTCTAACTTTTCACCCCAATAATTCTCACCATCTGCAATCTATGTAATTTCTTTGTAATGTTAATAATGGAAAATTTCCTTTAAGACATGCATCCAAAAAATATATATATATATATATATATAAATGTCTTTTTTTCCTAATGTTTATTAACATCGTCGTACCAATATCAATCGATAGACCGGGTCATTGAAATTATGTAATAGTGATCAATTTTATGACAATTTAGTACTGTTGTATTACTACACAATTTTTTTTTTTTTGTTGGGATGTTGATTCTAAAATTAAAACTTATAATGTGACGGATGTTCTCATTCACATTGGCACTAGACCAACACATTAGCGTCATGGTATTGGTGTGACCAATCCAATATTAACTATAACAATTCTATTATGTACCTCATAATGTTTTAAACTAGAAGAAGTCTCACCAATTTAATCTCTTATACAATATTATAACAATCTGTTTACACCCTTTGTATTTCTTCTTATTCTTAAACCTAATTATAAATCAAACACTTGAAGTCTTGAACAAAAATTCCCAAATTCTTTTATTCCTCAATTATTACTACAAAAATACAATTTATTTTTAATATTCCAACTTCTCCAAAATCCCTATAATAATTGTCTACAAAATTGAAGTGTACAATATTTTGTACTAGCAAGGGTTTCAATTCCTCCATGACGAAGACACATCAGACACAGCTTCTCCAATGGTCAAATAAAGCCCTCTTGCGTCGAACGTTGCAAGAAACTTGGAATTCTGAAGCCTCTCCATAACAATTGCCACCGGATTCACCAGCACAAGCTACATTAGAAGAAAGAAAAAAATTCAAATTTTGGTCAATCTTTTTTTCTTTAAACCCCAATAAATCACCTTGTTAGATAAATTGTTCTAGGAGATGTGTCAATGTTACTTACATGGAGTAAACTTCTGTCCATGGTTCTCTTCAACTGGTACAACATCTCGATCCCACTGCTGTCTATGTTCGTCACCGCTACAAAAATCCACAAAACAACCCATCTTAAGTACGCATAAGATTTATGAGATTAACTCGTCGACGAGTTAATGCCTGTTTTAAGAACAATTAGTACCAGTAATGTCCAATATGACACATTTGAGGATGGCATCTCCCGTCTCCTGAATCCTCTGTTCCTCCTCCCTTATCCACCTGATTATTCTGGAGGAATTTTTTTTTTGTTTGGTTGCATGTTCACGTATATTAATTAGCTCAGTCAATTAGAGTGTCGCGACGCGCGCCGATAATTAAAAGGCTATACGCACGCGTACCTTTCTTGGAGGTACATGGAATTCGCGAAGTAGATCGGAGACTCGATGGTGAGAATCAGGAAAGCCGGAACCCGACGCGCGTTGTTGTAACACGAGAGGTTGCGGTAGATTCGAGTCCCCGGAATGTTGCCGAGCTCCGACGTGAAGGGCCTGGAGACGTTGAGGATGATCTTCAAAAGTGAAATCCCAACCTGATTGATCGACGATGGAAAACATTTCAAACATCAGTTATTATATGAATTTCGATGAAGAAAGAAAATGAGCATATATACACATACGGCGATTGCGAGTCCGATGGGGACGGAGATGAAGAGCACGCCGAAGAAAGAGCACATGGAGATGAGGAAATCGAGCTTGTCGAGCTTCCACAGATTGTAGGCGGCTTTCACGTCGATGAAGCCGATGACGGCGGAGGTGATGATGGCGGCGAGGACGGCGTTGGGAGTGTAGTAGAACAAGGGCATGAGGAACAGAAGGGTTATGAGGATGGCGAGTGCCATGACGACGTTGGAGAATGCGGTTTTGGCTCCGGCGTTGTAGTTCACCGCCGACCGAGCAAATCCACCTTGTTAGGAAAGAAAGAAGAAGAGAAAAAAACAACCGAATTTTTTGTTACAAACTCAACTTCTTCAAAAGAAAGTCGATTTGTGAATTGTTTGCCTAAGGTCATCGTATTCTTGATGCTCAATGTATGTTAGAGTGCGTGGTCATCAAATTGTGAATAGATATTTTAAGGGTTATAAGTATAATACGCTCATCTACTATGCACATACTCCAAACATATTTTTTGCATTTGAGAAAAATTATTAAACATGTTATTCGGTTAAATATTTTATAAAAAAAAAACGTCAATTATGATTGAATCATGACTCAGAAGACTTGGCCTCAACAAAATGGAGAGGACAATATATCAATTTTGCCAATTCAATTATTTCTCTAAATTTCATTAAAGTGAATATATTAGAGGTATTTTAGACATTTATGTCATGCAAATCATAATTCGATCGTGATTGACCGATTTTTTGAGAAACTTTTACCAGAACTGCATGTTTGATATTTTTTCAAAAATAGAAAAAGTCTATTTGATGTAAAAAAAAAAAAAAAGTAGCGACACATGTTTGATTAGTAGGAGTCATATTATATCTATAGCCCATCTTTTAATCGTCAGGTTTTATATATACCATGTCAAGAACCTCCCGTATCAATTTTTCCAATTACTCGAATCGTTAAAAAAAATCCATAAAACGTACCCGATACCACGTAACAAGAACATAGGCAGCCACAAACATTCATGGCACCAATTGCTATCATTTCCTTGTTACCATCAATCTGGTAGTTGTTCATGCTGGCACATGTTCTTCCCACTGCAATTCCTTCCTACAGAAACCAGGAGTAGAGCAAAACATACGCCTTCAAGCTTCTTGCAAGCCATATATATACAGCAAACCCTAGACACAAGAAAGCTTTCCAATTTCCATATGTTACTCACGGTGAGGGAGAGAACTCCAGCCAAGATGCCAGTTTTAATGGCGACAGAGAGGTAAGGCCCATGGAAGTACAGCTTATGCAATGAAGATGGGTTCACTCCTTCAGGCAGCTTCCCTATCTGTTTTCAGACAACGATTGAAACAGAGCTTTAGGGTTTCTAAATCCATCAGAGAGAAACAGAGTACTCTGTATTTTTTCATGCTTACTGTGGCGACTTTTTGGAGCTTTGATTTGAGAATGAAGACGACGAGAGTTGAGATTATGACTGAAGTTAATGGAGCTAGTGCAGATACCCAGAAGAGCTTTGGCTTCTTTGCACTCTATAACATGCCAACCCCCCAACATTAGTTGTTTATTTTTAAGGTATAAGTGAAATGAATTTTAAGTGGCTAATGATAGTTTGATTGATCACTTACAACTTGTCTTGCAACCAATAGGAGTGCTAAGAAAGAAAGACATATCACCACTGTCTGCCATGTCCACTGCATTCAATGAATATTCTTTTTATTAGATAATTCATTCGGTGGATGGCAATTTCAGCCCGTCCCGTTTGAGTATTACGCCGGACCTGATCAATACTGGGACATGGGTATTACCTGATCCGTAGTAATGTGAAGCGGGATGTGGGTTTTATTACTCTCAACATGCTTCGTCTCGTTACGCCTGCCTCATTTTTCACCCACTAAATCTCAATTTTCTTCAATATGCATTTGTATTTATCCTATTTTGATTTTTCTTCAATCATATTTTCATGAAACCTTGGTTTTTCCAATTATTTAGACTCAAATACTCATTATTATAATATCATTATTTTTTCCATACGTGAAGTGTTTTCCCTTACGAGAATAGGTCGCGCGACCTGCCTCGACTTGTACCACTACCTGCGAGTATTACTGGGATTGACCCGCTTTTTGATATAGAGCGGCGGGACTGGAAATCGAGATACTCGATCGATATTACTCAACCCGACCCATACTTAGTACTACAAAATGTATATGATGATCACCTCTTTTTCCTCGTGAATCACGGATTTCAAAACAGGGATGATCTGCATCTGTTTGGTGAAATGTGTGATCCCAAAGAGCCCCTTGAGCTGCTGGAGGATCACGATGACTGCCGCTCCAGCCATGAACCCAGTCAAGGTTGCCTTTGACAGAAAGTCGATGATGAAACCCAGCCTGATGATTTAAGGACACAATCAGCCAGGAAAAGAACATATGCATCAACCCTTAATCATGCAAAGGAGAGTAGTTAATAATAATTAGCTAGTGAATTAGACAATTAGCTTACCTGAATATACCTAAACCAGTTTGGAGCAGACCGGCAAAAAGGGTCGTGGTGAAAGCCAGGCTTACATACAGCTCGGTTTGTGTTTCAGGGGAGACCGATTGGCTCAGCTCTGAACCTATGATCAGAGATGCTACAGAGACTGGACCGATCCCCAGGTGTCTGGAGCTTCCGAGGACAGCATAGATCATTGGTGGCACAAAGCTTGAATCTGTCCCAAAAGAAGAGAATTTTTTAGAGGTTAAGACATTGGTTTAAGGGGGATTTAAATGGGAAATGCTAGAGGGGGAAACTCACATAGTCCAATTATTGGTGGGAGGTTTGCAAGTTTGGCATAACTGATACCCTACAAAAGATATGCAGCAAAACAAGGTTAAAAGACTAGGGCTTGAAATTTAAATCAACTACTATTAATATTTGGGTAGATGAAGAGTTGAACACGTGACCTCAACACCAAACTAACTCTGCTACCATGCCATAAATTAATTGGTCACAATAACTCGAGTTGTTAGGGGAAGTCCATGCGTGGATCTTAACCACATTCTTACATGGACCCGTAAATGAAAATAAATACGGAATTGAAGTTTATATAGGGTCTGAATATCATGTACTTAACAAAAGAGGGTCATCAACACAAGATCTCTTAGTTATCGAAGGCTTTGATAGTATCTCATAACCCGTTTTGATCTCAATAACTTGGGTTACTCGGAGGCAGTGACGGACCCATGGATGTTTAGGGGTGTGAGGTCACACCTAAAATTTGGAAGAAAAAAAATACTGACCCCTCGGTAGTAGTTTGAGTTTAGGGTAGATGTTGATTCATGATCGTTTGAGAATGCTCGAGACAACCCTAAAATTCATGCAGAAATTATTGATCCTCTAATAGTAGCTTGTTTTGCAGGGGGGGAAAGTAGATAGTGGCCTTTGTGATTTGATCCAAAAACAACAATTATTAGAGTAAGTATTATACATTACACTACAAACCAATAATTTCCTGTTATATTTAAAAATAAATCCAATTATTATCTAAAACAAAGTTCAATTAGACCGAATATTATATTGTTAATTTGTATGATAACTTGCCGTAACCCCGAAGAATGAGTTTGTTGCTTTTGACAAGGAGAAGCTAAAAAGGCTTATTCGATTTTACCTGACCGAGTTTGATCACTTTTCTAACTCTTTTTATTTTTTTTAACACTTTGAGAATTCTTATTAAGAACAAGTTTCGAAATTGAATAGACAATCAGTTTCGTGAACGATTGTTGATCAGGGAAATCACGTTAAATCGAACCTGAGGGATGGCCAAGCTCGCAATGGTGAGCCCGGCGATGAGATCGGACCGAAACACATCGAAATCGTAAGTCCTCAACCAGCCGATGATCGGGAAAACATACTGCACCGCCTCCACGAACTTCGTAGCAGGACTCTGGTTCCTCTTCCTGAAAACATGGAAAGGATCCTCCGGGAAAAAAATCTCATTCAGCCTCCCCCTCAGCTTATCCCACAACGACACGTGCGGCGGATGACACACTTCATGTATCTCCTCGACGGCACAATCATCAATGACATTAATACCATTATCGCCGCCGCCGCCCTTCTTTCCACCGCCGCCGCCCGGCGGCGGCCTCAGCGGTGGAGGCGACGGGTGGTTGTGGGATCCGAGGAAGGACCCGTTGTTGGAGATTGTGATGGCATGGTGGGCCTCCGGGAAAGGCGGGGGCGGGGAGCGTGATGATGGCGGGGGCGGGATTGGGCCTTCGGGGATGATGGGCTGGTTTGTTGGGCTTGGGCCGGTGGCCGCGGCGCGTGGGGTGCCGTCGATGGAGAGGCGGAGTGGGGTGTAGAAATCGATGGAGGCGATGGAGCTTTGTGGCTGGTGGTGCTGCTCGTCGAGGTGTTTCTCCGGCGGTGGTGTGTTGACCATTTTTTGAATTTGGGGAGAACTGGAAAGGAGGAGGAGGAGGAGGAGGAGAAATGGTTTGCAATGGATGCATGGGGGGGATGGGAGGCTGATATTGGCGGTGTGTGGGAGAATTGTTTGTAGAGAGGAAATGGCGGGAGGATGGTTAGTTTCCAAATTTAGTGAGAGGAAAGTGGTGGCGGGTATGATTTGAACATGTGAATTTTTTTTTCTACTTTTTATGTCGGATAAGTTTAGACATCGATCGACTCAAATATGATACGAATAAGAATTGATTTTTTATTTTGGTGGATCGTAATGGCGGATTTCAAGAAACAAGCAGTGGTGAAATTGTTAGCAAGAGAAATTGAGGGGTTGGTCGAGTTTACCGATTATACTAATAAACAGATCGATAGATTTACGATTTTTTTAACGAATTTGCTAATGGAGTTTGAGCTAGCTTACTAGTGAAACAAGTCGTTTTCGTCGATATCCGACCCTTGGTCCACTCGACACGTGTTCAGTGATTTCGATATATTGATGATCAATGATATTGATGATCAATGATATTGGCCACAACTCCAATCATTCATGAAGGACATGCTCAAAAAATGATAATCGCTCCCCACTAAGAAGAACCAATAAAAGACGATTCACGGAAACATTATCGACATTGAGAGAATAAAAGGATAGATTCCCATCAAGAAGAAGAAGAAGAGACGGAGGATTAGGGAGTTAGAAGGCCATGGAGGACCGATGATTGTGTTCTACTAAGGGTTGTCAAATCGGTTTCGACTTTTTGTTTAAATCAAACCGAACCGATAAGGTTCTCTTATTGGTTTTTCTATCCATACCAAATTGTTTTTTACTTATTGGTTTTGATTTGATTAAAACCGGAAAAAATCGATAAGAATTGAAAACCACAACCCTAGTACACAAGCATCCATTACACAATCAATTCGGTTTTCTGTTCCTCGAAACCAAACCACTCATTAAGAGAACGAATTATTTCGGTTGAACGAAATCTTTAAATCTCTTAACAGTTCGGTTTCAATAGAATGACTTGTTTCGCTTTTTTGGTTCGTTTTAATTAAATCGAACCAATATCCCACCCATAGTTTACCTATCCTTCAGCATGATTGAACAGCACATGGAATTCGATGAGAAGTCTCATAAATTGAATGCTACTTCCACCAAACGTTTGGTGGTGCATTTACTGCACATTTATATAGCTAGAGTCCCTAGTGTTCGAGTTCTTTCCCTTTCCCTTCAGTTTGTTCAACAAGAACCATGGCTGGCTGCCAAAACAAAGCCCACCCACTTCCATGACAGGCCTGTTGCTTCGAGTCTGGGCCTGGCCCAATAAGGACTCCCGAAAGAAAAGCGATCTACTCAAACTGCTGCAAGTCCACTCCATTTCCATGCCTCCCGTCTAATTTTCCTTCTACTCTACGCTGTTCGTGAGGAGAGCGGGCAAACTAACAGCACAGATCTCGTCACTGTTTTAGCCTGCGTTCCTTCCCCTCGATCACTCTAAATCCTCTCTTCTTCTGCTGCTTCCTCTGCTCCTTCAACGCTTGGTCTCCTCGATTCGATCAATCAGCTTCGTGGATCAAGTCTCTAGTCTTCGCCGCAGCGAAAATGGTGAGAGTTTTCCCTCCCAATTCAATCTGGCAGTAGATCTGATGTCTCCACGCTGTACATTGCTCTTCTTGTTCTTTGCATATCCGCTGTTTGCTTGCCGAGAAACTGAGGGGGATACTCTTCGTCGAGCTGTGATTTCCGATATCTGTACTGCTTTTTGGAAACCGTTTTTTTTTTCCGGCGGCGGAGTGAGCGTAATTGTTTGGTGCAATATCAGAAATGGAAAGCAAATCTCGAGTTTGTGATGTAGAAGGATTTACAATTGGTTGTTCCTTTTGATTGGATTGATTGAAGTCTTAGTCGTAATGGTGCTTGGTTGAGTTAGATCAGCTAGGAGTTTTGGAGTTGCTTTCAGTTCAGTTCTTAACTGCGAGCTAATGCGTTTTTTTTGTTTGTTTGTTTGTTTGCTTCCTTGATTTCGCAATTGCAGCCTGTGAAACTTGATATCAAGGTAATTCATCTTTCGAATTTCGGAACCTCTTATCTTCTTTGTTTGGTCTCCATGCTTAATTGTGCTAATTGGTAATGAATCATCAGAAAAAGTTCCTGCAAAGGAGCGAGAGGGTCAAGTCTGTAGATCTGCACCCGACTGAGCCATGGTAATTTCAATCTTTGGCTCTCCTGATTTTTTGCGTGTGATTGACATTGACGAATCCTCGAGAAGTCTGTTTTCTGACTAGCTGATTGGTCTGGTGTTGTGGCAGGATTCTTGGCGGTCTTTATTCCGGGACGGTTTACATATGGAATTACCAGACTCAGGTTAGGGGCACTATGAAATTGATCTTGCTGTTAATGTTTTGCCTTCTCTTTGCTATGCTGCATTGTATATTACATGGTGGTTTGATGGCTAGATTGCATGGTTGGTTTTGTCTACCAGCTTCTTTTTCTGCTTAAGCTTGTAAGTTTTTGTTCAAACGAACCACAGTTGTAGGTTGATAGCGTGATTTTTAATAGCTTAGTCAGTTTTACTCTGATAAAAATGATTGGCAAAAAGAAGGGAGAAAGATAGGTATATTCCAGAGTTAAAAATTACAGATGGTTCTGCTATTAGTAAAGTATAGTTTGCCTCTTGTTGAGTTTGTCAACCAGGGATACAGCAACTGATCTTAGGTTACGCATCACCATGTCGATGTTTGATTATTCTATTTGTTCATATAATTCAATACTTTAAAGAAAAACCAACTCTTTTTCTCTGAATTCTTCAGACCATGTCAAAGTCATTCGAGGTTACGGATTTACCAGGTGTGTGTATTGCCTTGACGTTTCCTTTGTCTAAATTCTCATGTTGTGGATACAAGTACCATTTTGACATTTAAATAATGTGATATTACAGTGCGGTCTTCAAAATTTATCGCACGCAAACAGTGGGTTGTTGCGGGAGCTGATGACATGTGTATTCGTGTGTATAACTATAACACAATGGACAAGGTTAAGGAGTTTGAAGCTCATACCGACTATATCAGAAGTCTTGCTGTCCATCCGACGTTGCCATATGTTTTGTCCGCATCCGATGACATGCTTATTAAACTTTGGGACTGGGAAAGGGGTTGGATGTGCACTCAGATATTTGAAGGACATTCACATTATGTTATGCAAGTAACATTTAATCCCAAGGATACCAATACTTTTGCCAGTGCATCGCTTGATCACACCGTAAAGGTTCGGCAGAAGAGGCAGTTAACTTATGTGTTTTTTCAGACACTGGGGAAGCTTTGCAGAGATGTTAGCGTTGACGTGAGAATATTTTTGGAGTTTGCAGATTTGGAACATTCGGTCTCCTGACCCAAACTTCACTTTGGAAGCCCATTCAAAGGGAGTAAATTGTGTTGATTATTTCACTGGTGGGGATAAGCCTTATTTGATTACCGGTTCAGATGATCAAACAGCTAAGGTTTACTTGCTTATTTCCCTTTCTTCTATATTTCCGTTTAATGTGTGCTTGGATTTATCTTGTTCATCTACTTAAGGTGGAGATATGTGCTTGTCCTTCTAATAGGTGTGGGACTACCAAACAAAAAGCTGCGTGCAGACACTTGAGGGGCACACCCACAATATTTCTGCAGTATGCTTCCATCCTGAAATGCCTATTATATTCACTGCTTCTGAGGATGGTACGGTGAGAATATGGCATGCCACCACTTACAGGTACTTTCATGTCCTGGTCAGTAACTTAATTAAAAAGATAAACAAGTTGTGGTTGTTGCAAGTGCCATTTGCCTAAATTTATGGTGTACCTGAATTGAATTAGACCCATGGAATTGCATGTACTTGTCTGTGAGTTACCTGTCTCTTGTGGATGAAAGTTAGGTGGCAAAGTTACTTATCTATGTTCTTCCTTCGACATGTGTATGTTTAGCATGTCTTTCCCCTAAGACATTGAATCATACTCGATTCATTTTCAGGCTTGAAACTACTCTGAATTATGGACTTGAACGAGCTTGGAGCATTGGGTATATGAAAGGGTTGCGCAGGTAAAGATCTCGACTTTCTTTTTCAAGCTCAATTTGATTGCTGAATTTCGTTGATTCCTGCAAAGCATGGTTTTAGTTACCGTTACTATGGTTCTTCATGATCATGATGTTATAATGTTTAGAATAAATTTCAATTCATTACATAAGATTGTCACTATTCACAACTTGTCATTTATTTGAAACCTTGTTGTGAGGGATGTGCCTATGTACATTGCCCTTTAAAACTTATGATTGTTAATGATTTTTGTTCCTCTATTCTTTCTCTGTTCTCTTACAGGATTGTGATTGGTTATGATGAAGGATCTGTCATGATTAAAATTGGTAGAGAAGTACCAGTGGCCAGCATGGATAGTAGTGGAAAAGTTATCTGGGCCAAGCATAATGAAATACTTACAGTGAACATTAAAAGTGTTGGAGCAGAGAATGAGGTTTTTCATATTCTTTTGTCAAATCTGAGATCAACTGAATTCTGAATAGCTGTCTTACTAGTCTATACATAAATCTTTGAACCTCAGATTGCTGACGGAGAGAAATTGCCGTTGGCAGTGAAGGAGTTAGGAGCCTGTGAAATCTATCCCCAGGTAGGACTGTTTCTTTGGAGACATACCAAAAATTTGTTGCCATTTATTTTAAGGATAATGCGCTTGGACCAAAACGCAGGATGAACACATTGAAATTTGATATCTTACATGTGCATCTGCCTTGCCATTTTATGCTAAACTTGTCTAGGGTATTGGTTCAAGTATATCTTATAAATCTACTTCAGTTGGTCTCACAGACTAAAGGTTATAATTCATTTGTATACTATATCTATAATAATAGTAGAAGCCTCTAAGCATCCTATGAAAATTAGATCTTTTATAGGAGCAAAAGCGTCAGATTCGGACCTCCACTTAGTTCTTTCCAAGCTTCATCAAGGCCCTTGGCTGAATAGCAGGAAAAACTTCTACTTTTGTTATTTGATTTCAAATCTAATTTCATGACCATAATCTACATTTTCTGACACAATGGATCCGTATTGTCCATGTACCATTATGAGATAAGTTACTGCAATTATACTTGTAAATTGTCTTTGTTCCATCTGTGGAATACATTCATGCTCTGATCCAAACTATTTCTGCTTTTGCTTGATTCCAGAGCTTGAAGCACAACCCAAACGGAAGATTTGTGGTTGTTTGTGGTGATGGCGAGTATATTATATATACAGCTCTCGCCTGGAGGAATAGGTCATTTGGTTCTGCATTGGACTTTGTTTGGTCCTCAGATGGAGAATTTGCTGTCAGAGAAGGACCTACGAAGATTAAGCTTTTCAGTAAAACATTTCAGGTGCTTATCCTTGTACACTGCGCAGCCCATTACTGAAATTTGAGATGCATAAATCATACAATATGGTGAGGTTACTTATCTTGTGAGAGGAAGGCAGAAACACTAGATCTCTGGTCTAACAGGAAAATTAATATTTTCCATATTCAGAAAACTCTATTAATATGGTTAATGCATTTTCCATATAGCATGCTTTTTCTGTTCGTTATGTTGGTGGCTAAGGTTGCTCAGTGATAAAGTTCCTGCGATCTAAATGGCTGATATACTTTCCAGGAAAAGAAGAATATTCGTCCAACATTCACTGCTGATCGCATTTATGGGGGCACCTTACTTGGTTTATGCTCAAATGAGTTCGTCTGCTTCTATGATTGGGCAGAGTGCCGGTTGATTCAACGAATAGATGTTAACGTCAAAGTATTCACTGAAATCCCTGAGCATTTCCTCTCTGTTAAATTTATGAATGCAGAATTGGTGTCTCATAATATATTTGGTGTTTGATTGTGCCAGAATATTTACTGGGCTGATAGTGGGGATTTATTGGCAATCCCTAGTGAATCATCATTTTACATCCTCAAATATAATGTAAGATGGTCTCCTGTTTCGCCCTGACCTCATTGTGTCACTTAACAATTAGTTTCCGTTTTATGAACTCTGCTATGATGTGATTGAGATGTACATAACCAGAAGCTTCTTTGATGTGTTGTAGCGTGAGGTAGTGTCATCATACTTCGACAGTGGAAACACTGCGGATGAACAAGGCATTGAGGACTCTTTCGAACTCCTGTATGAAATAAATGAAAGAGTCAAAACTGGAATCTGGGTTGGAGACTGTTTCATCTACAACAACTCTTCTGCACGCCTCAACTACTGTGTTGGTGGTGAGGTATAAGATACTTATCCCCTAAGTATTATTACATAATAAACAAGTGTTGATGATTGCTGAATCTGACTATTTTTTAATCCTGGCACTATATGTAGGTGACCACTATGTTTCACCTGGACCGGCCAATGTATCTATTAGGATATCTTGCTGCTCAAAGCCGTGTTTATCTTATTGACAAAGAGTTTAAGTAAGTTTCTGCTTGTGAGCTTGAAATGTGTGTAGTTGCTTAAACCTCGTTTGTAACTATTTTCACTGGTTTTGTGTCATGATGCAGTGTTGTGGGGTACACATTACTTATCAACCTGATCGAATACAAGACTCTAGTAATGCGTGGTGATATCGACCGTGCCAATGAAGTTTTGTCCACAATTCCTCAGGAACACCACAATAGGTAGAATGCGTAATGTAATGCATTCTAGTATCTGATGAAAAACTCTTGATTGTCAATCTGATTATTGTTACATTTTCAGTGTGGCTCGTTTCCTGGATTCTCGTGGTCTGCAGCACGAGGCTCTAGAAGTTGCCACTGACACGGACTACAAATTTGAATTGGCAATACAATTAGGCAAACTAGAGATAGCTAAGGTAGCTGCAGTATCATTAATCAATATCCAAAGTCTGTTTTGACACATTTAGATTAGAAGTTCCTGACATGTAACCAAACTCCAATATAAGTTCATGTCTGAAGGCTGCTTAATCATGTATAGGAAATTGCTGAAACGGCACATAGTGAGAACAAGTGGAAGCTGTTGGGGCAGCTAGCTTTGTCTACCGGAAAGGTAATTCTATGCAATTTAGATTTGTCTATGTACTAAAGGTCTACATCTTATGATGTCAATTGCCATGTTCTATTTCTACTTTTATTGATCCTTCACCTTGTGGAAGTGTTGCAAAAAACACTGGCTAGATTCTAGTATTATTGTGGAGGACTTTGTTTTGAGATGAAATGATGAGTTAGAAGGGCGTCCTTTATTATGCACAAGAGTATGTTAAAATATCAAATGGTTTTACAAAAAGAAAAATTATTGAATGCCTCGCGCTGAAATGACTGCCGACATTTTCAATTGGTTGTTAATATCCTTAGCACTTTCACATATTTCCAGTGTATCCTCTTAATTTTCTTTGTGCATCCAAGTTGGCATAGATGAAGCTGGTATTGAACATCACATGTTTAAATTTTAAACCCTGGCTTGTGCAGTTAGAACTAGCTGAGGAATGCATGCTGAAAGGAAAGGATTTGAGTGGTTTGTTACTCCTCTATACTTCTTTTGGAGATGCAGAAGGAGTCGCAAGACTTGTATCTCTTGCTAAAGAGCAAGGGAAGAATAATGTTGCATTTCTGTCTTTATTCTTGATGGGTAAAGTGGAGGAATGTATCCAGCTGTTAGTTGACAGGTATTTTTGACTTGGAGAACATTTCGTTTTTTCTTCTTGGGGGCGGAGATAAGGATTTCACCTTTGCCATTTCTTCTCTTTTCCCTCATCTACTTGTTGCCTATTTGTGTTGATTGTGGTGTCATTACACTGCAGTAACCGCATACCTGAAGCTGCGTTGATGGCTAGATCTTACATGCCAAGCAAAGTTTCTGAGATAGTCTCTTTATGGAAAGATGACCTAAACAAGGTTTTGCTTGCTTAAACTTTCCAATCTTTTCACCAGAACTTAATTAGTAAAGTACATACAGATATAGGAAGCATGAAAACTCTGTTGTCATATTGTTTGGAACTGGGCTCAATCCCATTGGGTTTAGCCTGTATCTCAAGTTCTTGAATTCTGATGTAAAGTTCCGATACTTCCAGGTTAACCTTAGAGCTGCTGAATCGTTGGCCGATCCCCAGGAGTATCCTAATATGTTTGAGGACTGGCAGGTTGCTCTTGCTATTGAATCCAAAGTTGCCGAGACACGGTATATGCCTACTTTGTATAAGTATGGAAGTAAATTTTCTTTGGTTGTGCCGCTCCTTGACTGTCATATTATTGGTTCCCAAGTAGTGATACATTCATATGAGAATTGGTCATGTGCGGAAAAGGATGTTAAGCTAGGGAATTTAATATCTAAAGTTTTCTGAGTCTGATTACAAAAAAAATGGTTTCCACGTTATTGTTATTATATGGTTCAGAATAGTTGTTTCAAAGCATCAGCTGACATGCCTTCTGTTGAGACCTGTTTCTAGTGCTATTTTCTCGATTTTGTAACAGAATCCTTTAGCTGAGATTATATGCGGTAGAATTGCCTGCATGTCTATGTTGGAGAAGGAATTCTATATGAATATATTTTATACAATAGTATCAATAGTCTTGCACTATTTGGTGTGTTGTGTAAACTTCTGTTTGATGATCACTAACTTAACAAGGTGTCCCGTCCGCAGAACCACACATCTTCCAGCTGGCGACTACTTAACCCATGCTGACAAGTCAAACATGAGCCTTGTCGAAAGTTTCAGAAACTTACAGGTTGAAGATGAGGAGCCAAGCCAAAATGGCGATCTAGATCATGAGGTACCTATCCACAAAAGCATTTTCAACTTGGTGAGATTGCATAATGTAGTCTGAGTCGCGAAGTCTCTAGTCAATGCGAAATGACTATTGTCATGGCTTCATTCTTCGGTTTTCAGCCATTGTTATGCCGTGACTTCGTGTAACTGAAGTTCATTTTAAGAATGTTGTACTACTTGCTTCAGATGTTGCAGTGGCATGCTATAAACTCATGGCCTTAATACTACTTCTTAACTTGTTCAAGTCTGCAGTTCTCTATATCATTACATAGATGTAATGCTACTTGATAACGAGTTACTGTACTTTGGCTACATATGAAGACCTTAAAATTTGTCTGATTCTTGATCATAGATAACAGGATCTAAAAGCTAAATCACAATGGTTAACTGCAAAGTCCCCAATCATTTTAGTACCCTTTCTAATAGTGTGAACGTGAGCCTAAAAAAATCAATTTGATTTGCTTTGTTCTATAGGAATTTGTTGAGGATGTGGATGAAAATGAAGACGATGAAGCCGCCGAAGAACCCATGGAGGAGGGGGATGCCGACTCAACAAATGGTGCTGTACTCGTAGATAGCAACGAAGCGCAAGAAGAATGGTCTGCTGATAAAGAAGAAACATCTTCAGCCTAAATAGACGATGGTATGGTACTAAGTCAAAATCAAACGTGCTTCTTAAATTGCTGAGCTATTATTCTTGATTCCGTGCTTTCATGCATGCCCATATGTTGGCTCCTGCCATCTATTGGTGTATAGGATAGGACTTGAAGTCTCCCTGTCAGTATATGTTGCAGCTGCTTCGCTTTACCCTTACGAAAAACTTTCCCTTTGGAATAGGATAACTTATACCCTGAAAATTTATGACTGTCCAAGCTGTAGATTAGTAAAAGGTTTGATAATGTCTGATGCTCAACTACCCTAGTCACATACTTTTCTGCCACCTGCTTGCATCTAAGTCGTCGTTTGGATGATTGATTGTTTGGTCTGGTATTGTCCACAATCCATATCTGATGGATTCACGAGTTCTACCCATTTGCAGAAATTGGAAAGTCAGTCCCTTCAGTGACAGCATCTGTACTTCAGATATGCTTCGTTTTACTGCTGTCCGAGAAGTGCATACTTTATGTTCCATACCAAATTAGAGTGCTGACTTATGTATGGGACTTTGTTAACATGTTGAATACACTAATGGACTATCCTTTCCGGTGCCTTATTTATTTGAAGATTTTGATGCACATTGCTAGAATGTGGGTGTTCAGTTCCTATTAATTTTAACACTAGTGTCCCTGTCCTAGCCAGAAAAAGATCCATGTACTGTACAATTGTAAACCAAGCGACACTACTTGCGTTAAAGTGGATCATAATTAGAAGAGAATCTAGTTTGGACACAATTGTGCTGTCTGTACTTATTGTAGGCGCTGCATAAACTATATGCCTGAGGAATAAAGCACAGATGCTCATGCTTTACCACTTGTTCTTTTCTTGGCCCGTGTTAAAGTGGATCATACCGTACTTAACTTTGTGAACTTGTTAACATTATCTCTTTTTCCTGATCATCCTTTTCGCAGGATTAGGAACGCGTCAATTTTCCACCTACGAGCTGTTGACACCTACCACCTATCTTCAAGGCCATTGGAAATTGCTCATCGCCATGTTGTAAGTCTCCCCTTCTCATTCGCTTCCTTAGTGGGCATCCTCAAAGAAAAAAAGTAGAACAGGCACTATGCCTAAAAGCTAAGGATAGCCAAGAAAGATGGAGAATAGCTGTATCTATAGAAATGTCGATGAGATTCTTCCCCTTATGTTGTGCACCATATACTCTTTACCGAAAATAATCACTGTTTTATAGCTGCATGAGGACATTGCATCAGCGCATGTAATCAATATGTCCGACCTGTTCGAGAGTTGTACCTTAAGTTAGCGAGTGAGTGTTGTTTGCCATGACCTGTTTTTTCCCTAGAGAATGCCCGCTTTCCAGCTTCATCATTTGTATCGACTTGAGTTGATCATAGAAGTTACATTCTCCATTACTGTGATTCATTTGGTGTTAAGCGCGGGCTGTTTCCCCCTGGGCACGCGGCACTAAAGTTGTCGAACGAAATCGAACTACCACGAGCATTTTGGCGGCCTTTTGTTGTTTATGAGGAGCCTTCCTGGGTACATGTTATCAGGAAGCGAATCTTTGTCGTTGGAGGATTACCTTTAGAGAGGCTGCACAAATATTCGATAGCAACTTCACTTTTTCAAAAGGTGAAAGAAGCTAAGTTGGTTCTCACTGCGCTCCCAGTTCAGAATTGAATTGGGGAAAGTATTTTAAGGTGTTTGATGGAACCTTCTCTGGTGCATCCCTTAAACGATGCTTCTCCTTAATTGGTTACTGGAAAGATAGTGTAGGGAGAGCTAATGGTTAGAGGATAGTTGGACAGATCACCTGCCTAATCAATCCAAAAATAAGGCTGTAATTGGTTGAGCCAAATTTTAGCCTAACTCGGGTCAACCTGTTAATAGCCTGACTTGTTTACTAAAATTTTGGCTCGTCTTTTGACTCCGCTTGACTCGTTAACAAGCTCACCAGCTCTTCTCAAATTCGAGGCTCGTTAGTTAGCTTGTGAGCTTCACTCGAGCTCATAGATCATACTACGAGTGTTTGTGAAATTTTACCTTACCGACAGTCCGATTCATTTACTAATCAACCGAGTGTCAAAGGAGTTTTTCTTGAACTAATTATCGAGTCGCTAGTGACCGTAATGGCTCATTTCCAACCCTATTACGCTAATTAATAATTCAAACTAGTTATCCCGCTGTTTTTATTATCATTTTCGTCAAATATTGGAAGATCCCAACATAGACCCAAATGGACAGTACTACAACTACATCAGTCTATCCATGATCCATCTAGTATCTGTGGTTAACTATCTTCATGCATACGTGGCATTTCCACATTGGCTGTAGATGACACCTCACGATACTCCATCAGTCCATCCATCTAGTATCTGTGGTGTAATATTCATGCAAACGTGGCATGCTCACATTGGCTGGAGATGACACCTCACAACATTTCCATAAGATTTTTGCACTCTTCAATCCTAATTTATCTTAGCCTCAAAGAAGATCAAACCTCCAAAAATCCCCAGCCAATAAGACTTGGATAAACAGATCTTCCTGGATAAGGACCCACAGTCCCCCAAGCCCATATAAATATGGACCCAACATCATAGCCCAAAAATATCCAAACCCACACAACTCTGCAGGCAACAGACACAGAGCAAACACTCTTTACTCTTTTAAGTCTTTAGTTTTTTGTCTCTCCATATCGACAATGTCTGCTGCAGCCATGGCGCTCTCCTCCCCATCCTTCGCCGGCAAGGCGGTGAAGCTCTCCCCCTCCATCCCCTCCGAGCTCACCGGCGACGGCCGCGTCACAATGAGGAAGGCCGCCGCCAAGCCCAAGACCGCTTCATCCGGAAGCCCATGGTACGGCCCAGACCGCGTCAAGTACCTGGGCCCATTCTCGGGAGAAGCCCCATCCTACCTCACCGGCGAGTTCCCCGGCGACTACGGCTGGGACACCGCCGGCCTATCCGCCGACCCGGAGACTTTCGCCAAGAACAGGGAGCTCGAAGTGATCCACTGCAGGTGGGCCATGCTGGGCGCCCTGGGCTGCGTCTTCCCCGAGCTCCTGGCCCGCAACGGGGTGAAGTTCGGAGAGGCCGTGTGGTTCAAGGCCGGGGCCCAGATCTTCAGCGAAGGTGGGCTGGACTACTTGGGCAACCCGAGCCTGGTCCACGCGCAGAGCATTTTAGCCATTTGGGCCTGCCAGGTGGTTCTCATGGGCGCGGTTGAGGGCTACCGCGTTGCTGGTGGGCCGCTCGGTGAAGTTGTGGACCCGTTGTACCCGGGTGGCAGCTTCGACCCGTTGGGCCTGGCCGACGACCCGGAGGCGTTCGCCGAGTTGAAGGTGAAGGAGATTAAGAACGGGCGGCTGGCTATGTTCTCGATGTTTGGGTTCTTTGTTCAGGCCATTGTCACCGGAAAGGGACCGCTGGAGAATTTGGCCGACCACATCGCCGATCCCGTCAGCAACAATGCGTGGGCTTTCGCCACCAACTTCGTCCCCGGAAAGTGACGTGGGGGTGTCGATGTCGGTGATTGGAGCTGACATGTAAATGTGTTGAAAATGTTGGATTTGGATTTTGGAAATTTAGGGGTTTGTCCTTCTTGCTTTGGTTGTTTCAGCCCCTTGTTTCAATGGAAATTGAGAGATTTGGTTTAATGATTCCTTGGTGTCTTTCTGTTGGAAATGAATGCATGGAAAATTGATAATTGTAAATCAATCAATTAAAAATATGTGATTTCACGATAAATTGATCATCCGGAATAGTTTGTTTTTCGAAATTGAACGATCGCATTCTAGGTGAGATTTGGCTACTCAACCGTTGATGGACTACGTGAATCCCGTAAGATTTGGCTACTCATTTTGTAACTAGTAAGGGTGGGTTGTTTTTTCAATTTTGAATTGGTGTATTGCGTTGAATACATCTATTGATGAAGTGTATTGTAGATTACAATGATATGTAGTCTTGATTGTGTTCTCGATAATTAAAAATAAAATTAATTTTTAGCAAAAATGTCACTTTCTAAATGAAAAACTGGAAAATAAAAGATATAACAATTTCAACTAAACAATCCCAAAAAATCACAGTTAAAAAATAAGATTGCACAATCATTCATTTCGAATGATTGTTTAGTTCACATCAAGCAAACAATATATCTAGTATGTGCACATAAAAATAAAAACAAATAATACATTGCAAAGAATGCCAGCATTGTAACAATCTCATTAAAATAATACGGTCACAAAATCTCTCATTTTCAAAAATATATCGCAATGTGCAAAAAATATCACGACGGTGAGATTGTGAAATTGTAAAAATGGTTAAAAAAAAATATATAGATTAAGGGTCATGTTCATTCTCATAAAAAATTTTGTAAATCATTCGGAATTTTGTTCATTCTCTCATTTTCAATTGTAGATTGCATAAAAAAAAAAAATTCTGTTCATTCTCATCATCCAATTAAGGGTCGTGTTTCACGACAAGGACACAATGTCCCCCGTCACAATCTTACATCCAAACAACCCTTATGATCAAGACATATGTTATTAGCTATTCCTTTCCCATTTCACCTTCCCTTTAATTTCATGGCCCTCTAATTTAACCTACATGATTATTATTATTATTATTATTATTATTATTATTATTATTATTATTATTATTATTATTATTATTATACCCTTAATCTCCCCACCGCCTTGAGTTATCAGTCTAGTTTAGAATGGGTCCCAGAAAGTTGGAGCCTCCAAAATAGAATCCCTCTTTGTGGTTGGCTCTACAAGGAGGAGGAGCTTTCCTAGCAAACGCGTTAATTGGAATCGAATCTTTGTCATTTTGAGGGTTATCTTTTTGGAGCTTGTACAAAAAAAATTCTCTCCTTTTTTCCAAAAGAGACTGGGGAAGAAAGAAAAGGGGGAGAGGAAGTGGTTGATGGAATATAATCTTCGACGGCATGGTTTAGGGTTTTTGGAGATGATGCTTCCTTCGAATATGGGTTAAGTGGGGAAGATAAAGAAGAAATGAGGAGAGGAAGTGGTTTAGGGTTTCAAGGTTTAGCTATATTGGATTCAGAGGTTCAGTGGGCAGGCACTCAATAATGTAGCCGTTAGGACTGTATTATGAACACCAACAACCATTATACACCCATCAGAATTATGGCCCAAAATATTTATAAAAAAAAAAAAAAAAATTGGACTCAGTTGGAGATTGGTCATAAGTTTGTTGTTATGTATATCCACAATGAGGTGGAAGTTGGTGTTATAAGATATTGGGAAAAGGATAAATCGGCAGGTGCGGTTTCAGTATAAAATATCCTATCGTTGACTTTTTTTATACAACGTTCGGTACAATTTTACAATTCTTGAGGAATAGTTAACTAGTGTCACTAATGGGAATAGCTTAAGAGATAGTTTGATCAATTGAAGATACAAGATAGTTTTAACAACACAATGTTAAATGGGGAAAAAAAGGGGGATTAATGTTTTTTAGGGAGATACTGCAACTCGAACACAAATTATTGATTAGTATTTCTACCATTGTAGCGTAAGTAATACGTCATTATAAACAAAACAAATTTGTACTATCCATGATATCATTGTCGATATGATTAAGGTGGTAGACTCATACAGGGTATGTTTCGAATTCGAATCCGTTATTTGACAAATTTTCCCTTAAAAAAAACACCCTTTCGCTATTCTAAAAAGCAAAACAAGCTTGTTTTTACAAAGTTAAAGCAAGATATATAAATTAACAACTTATTGGATTATGATGTGATATGTACAAATAACAGCAAACATAAATCATGTTAAAAGCCATCAAAATCTTATTAAAGGAAACCCCTAAAGAGGCAAAGAACCTTTCTTTTTCCTTTTTCTTAACATCCTAATGTGAATGTATCCTCTTGAAACATATGTCTCACACTTCTCTATCAAGAAATGAACATGCCAGTTTACAATTGCATGTCGGGTTATCAATTCTTCTCATAAACAAACCAATATGGGAAGCAAGACATTCTCCCACTTAAAAGAATACAACATATGTACATGTTTATGTTCTTATACAGCATTTTCTGCCCTTCTTCTGTGTTCCCCTCATGATCATACTTTGATATGTTACTTAAGATTAAGACTACCAAATGAGCACATTCATTCACATTCCTTTTTCAAACTTCAGAATGCTATGGCTCCTCCTATTGTGACCCAAACAATCCCAAACTGCAGCATTCAATGGAAACCCACTTCTGTTGTTTTTTCCTGTTAGAGAGTCTGATTTCAGTCTTCCATTGCCTGGAAATGGAGGGGAATAGGTTGAAAGTTCTTGGAACATAGGGTATGTACTATAATCTTGCTGATTGAACAACAGACATGAGAATGCATAATGTTATGAGAGCCACATGATATGTAAATGTGTAGTCATGTGATTGTATTTCATTATACTCAAACATATGCACTATGCGGAACTGAAAAGCGTTCTTAATTAGAAGTCACGGTTCGTTCAGTTTACATCA